TTCTCTCTCTTATTCTTCTCTAACTTCTCAAGGCTATTGGTGTGACCATGTAGGTCCATCGTGGATTAGCCGTGAGCCGGTTTTGGATGAATCTGGAAACCTGTCCGCAGGCCCAACGACTATGGTAAACATCTAGCAATGTGCCATAGTCCCTAAACCACGATGAAGAAATACTTCATTGAACCCATTTCAGATCATATGTACCATGCAGGTAAAATTCCTCCATTGATATATTCTGATCGAGCACGGATTCATGAAACGTCAAAAACCTAAACTTGATTTTCTACCGAATCGTCGATCAATATATCTAGAACTCGCCATCACGAACTTGTTTTTGTATGACTAATAATATACTCTGGCCAGAGATGCTGATTTTCGATATTTATCGACATTCGTCTAGGAACTCGAATCCGGATGGAGTTTGCGGTACTCCTGATCCTATATTTTTGAGTCAATGGATCCTTTCTTGACCATCGTTCGTTTCTGCATATGAACAACACACGACCAAATAGGCTTTTTCATACAAAACATGACTAGTCTCGTACTTATACAATGTGTGAACCATACGTATCTGTATCAGATCCGACCACAATGTCTCAGGTTAAAGGACTACATCGTGCACTGATATAACCAAACGATAAATCATTGACTACATGCTTTTCCAAGTGATTTGTCGTTATTCGATCACGTTCGAAAAACAGTTCACCAACTGCTAATCCATACTAATGCCTCAGTGACATGACTATCATCGTCATCCGTACTTATATCAACTCATGATATTCGGAAGCATCCAGTATGGCTACTATGCAATATAATTGCCCAAATTATATTGCTTCTGTAGGGAACCTTTTTTGATAATTCATTTACCGATTAAATGAATCATCTGGACAAGTCATATACATACTTTATTTTAAATGCATGACTGAATAAACGAAGCAATTTATATATATGAATTGAAGAACTCTTTCTTCTATTATTTATGATATATATTGATACAAGACTAAATGGTCTGAAACCGATAACATGAATGGTTTCTAGGGCATACACTAACAAACTCCCAATTGCACTAAAGCCATTTGATGTTGTATCTCATACCCATCTTCTCAAGATGATGGTCCAATTGCTTGAGTGTCATCCCCTTAGTTAGTGGATCAGCTACATTTTCTACTGAAGGTGTCTTCAAAATTATAATCTCTCCAACTCAAATGAATTCTCTCAAAATGTGATACTTGCGCTGAATATGTTTGGATTTTTGGTGTGCCCTTGGTTCCTTTGCCTGTGCAATAGCTCCAGTATTGTCACAGAACATGCTTATCGGGTAAGCCATGTTTGGAACCGCACCAAGTTCAATTACAAATTTTCACATCCAAACAACCTCCTTTGTTGCTTCTGAAGCAGCAATGTATTCAACTTCTGTAGTGGAGTCTGTTGTGGTTGTTTGTTTGGAACTTTTCCAACTAACAGCACCTCTATTACATATAAAAATGTACCCTGATGTAGACTTTCTATCATCAATATCTGATTGGAAATCAGAATCTGAGTATCCTTGAATGTTTAACTCTGAACACTCATAACTCAGAACTAGATCCTTAGTTCTTCTCAAGTACTTAAGGATCGATTTTACAACCGACCAATGTTTCTCCCCTGGATTTGACTGATATCTGCTCGTAACACTTATAACCAAGCTATATCAGGTCTTGTACATAGCATTGTGTACATTAAGTTGCCTACCGCAGATGCATAAGGCACATTACGCATCCGCTATTGCTATTCATCGGTCTTTGGACCCATCTCCTTGGAAAGATGAACACCGTGAGTGAAGGGCAATAGACCTCTCTTAGAGTTCTCCATGCTAAACCTTTTTAGCATTTTCTCTATGTACAATTTCTGGGATAATCCAATTACCCTTTTCATTCTATCTCTATAGATATGAATGCCAAGGACATAGGTCACTTCTCCTAAGTCTTTCATCGAGAAGGTTTTGGACAACCAAACTTTAACCTCTATCATCATGCCTATGTCATTTCCCATCAAAAGGATGTCATCTACATATAGTATGAGAAATGTGATGGCATGATCTTTAACCCATTTGTATACACAAGGTCCATTTGGATTCTTCACAAAACCAAATGATTTGATTATGTCGTTAAATCGAATGTTCCAACTTCTTGAAGCTTGCTTCAATCCATAAATGGATCGATGAAATTTGCATACCTTATGCTTTTTAGTAGAGGATACAAAACCTATCGGTTGCTCCATATAGATGTTTTCCTCAATAAACTGATTGAGCAAAGCTGTTTTAACATCCATCTGCCAAATTTCATAATCATGGTATGCTGCGATGGCTAGCATTATACGGATAGATTTAATCATAGCTACAGGTGAGAAGGTTTCCTCATAATTCAATCCTGTTTCTGAGTATAACCTTTTGCCACCAGTCGAGCTTTGAAGGTCTCTACCTTCCCATCCTTGCCAACTTTTCTCTTGTAGACCCATTTGCAACCTATAGGAACTATTCCTTCTAGTGGATCCACAAGTGACCATACTTGATCGACATGCATTGATTCTATCTTATAATCCATCGCTTCCTACCACTTTCCTGAATCTCTATCCAGTATTGCCTTTTTGAGCTTCTAGGATCATCACCATGATCATCTACTCCCACTAAGTAAGACTCAAAATCTTGCTCATGTAGGAACCCATATCTTTCTGGAGGTTTTCATATTCTAGAAGACTTTCGCACTAGAACCATAATATCTGATACTGAGGTTCGCTGAGTGGACGTTCTAGCTTCAGCAATCTCGGTTCTTGGCTCTCCGAACTCAACCTGAGTTCAATATTTCTTCCAACACCACCTTCCTCCAAGAACTCATTCTCGAGGAAGTGCGCATTTCTACTGATCTAAACTTTTTGATCACTTGCAAAGTAAAAGTAAGATCCTAAACTATCTTTAGGATATCCAATGAACCGACCCTTATTAGATTTAACATCTAGCTTATCATAGTTAACTAATTTTGTTAGTAAACGGTCCTGTATACGCAGCGGAAACGAAAAATATAATATAACAGGATCGTTTACATGAGCCAAGATCAAGGGTATGATTTTACAATTTATATTAAATAAAATCTGCATAAATATTCAACATGAGTTAAGAGAAACAAACGCACGTTGAAGGCTCCTCCAAATTTGTCGACGAANTTACTTCATAGATTGCCTCATCTCATTGTTAAGAAATAGTAGTGTCCCTATCTAACACTAACCCAAGAAAGTCAGACAGAATCCATCTTTCTTCCCTAATTAGACGATGGATTGATAAGTTAAGTTATCGATTCTCGCTTCTAGTTGCGAAATGAGCTACTAACCACTATGCGTCTATTGTATATATATTTAATATATATATATATTTGATTTACCTATCGACTCAGTCAGGAATTAAATCAAGACGGCCCTTTTAACTCAGTGGTAGAGTAACGCCATGGTAAGGCGTAAGTCATCGGTTCAAATCCGATAAGGGGCTTTTACTTTCTTTAACTTTCTATATAGGAAAAATTTCATTCGAAAGTCTATAATTTCGAATTTTTTGAATTTCATTCTAATGAATTTCATTTTAATAATAACTAATAATAAAGTGAGAGAGTAATTTAGAAAATCAAATTGAACATTTTTATATTATAATACAATGAATAATAATAAGTCGGCTTTTGAATCGCCAAATAGATATTCGTTGTTTCCCTTTTTCGATAGATTAGAAATCAACAAATCCAAAAGAAAAAGTAAGTGGACCTAACCCGTCGAATCATGACTATATCCACTATTCTGATATTCAAATTCGATAGAGATAAAATTGAAACAGTAGATTTGGTTTATTTCATATTTTTTTATTCGGAAATCTGTCGATATCTCTTATTTAATCTTCTTGTTTCTATATTTCATAGGAAATATATTGCGTTCCTGCCTAGAGAAAGAAAGTCTTATTCCAAATTTTTTAATACCTAAAGGGTATTTCAATATCTTGTTTTGATTCCAGAACATAACAAGAGCCTAAATTCTAGTTGTATAAGAATCAAATTGTATTAAGAATCAAAAAATCGAATCATAAAGAATGGCTTCAGATATCAATCAAATATTTCCATATTGATGCTTACAAGATGACAATGTAATGGGATTGAAGGTGTATGTGAGAAAGAAACTCTCATTTACAGTTTGCTATTATTTTATTTAAATATTGTATTGAATTAGATATAAATAATAAATTTTCCCTTTTTTTACCGGCATGGACATGTAGATATCAAATAAAATAGAAAAAAAGATTTCTTTATCTGAGTAATGAGTCATCTGACAATTCATGATTTAGATTCAACTACTTATTAAGAAACTAATAGCAAGGAAGAAACAATTTGAGTTGATGCGTTTACCTAAGTAAGGACCAATAAAATCAAATATTTTGATCTTCGAAACCAATTAAATGAAATTCTAAAGGTTCAATTTTATGGGGCAGTGCGCGAGAAATCAAATTATAAATAAATGATAGAATTTTGAGCGCCCTGAAAATGCCATAATATATAACATTAAGATATATAAAGGTGTTCGGAAATGGTTGAAGTAGATGAATAGGAGGATCGCTATGACTATAGCCCTTGGTAAATTTACCAAAGACGAAAAAGATTTATTTGATATTATGGATGACTGGTTACGGAGGGACCGCTTCGTTTTTGTAGGTTGGTCTGGTCTATTGCTCTTTCCTTGTGCCTATTTCGCTTTGGGGGGTTGGTTCACAGGTACAACCTTTGTAACTTCATGGTATACTCATGGATTGGCTAGTTCCTATTTAGAAGGTTGCAATTTTTTAACCGCTGCAGTTTCTACTCCTGCTAATAGTTTAGCACATTCTTTATTGTTACTATGGGGGCCTGAAGCACAAGGAGATTTTACTCGTTGGTGTCAATTAGGCGGTCTTTGGACTTTTGTTGCTCTACACGGTGCTTTCGGACTAATAGGTTTCATGTTACGTCAATTTGAACTTGCTCGATCTGTTCAATTGCGNTAAAATCATAAGAACATTGGGGATGGTGCTTATCGGAAAGATGATGATCTATACAGAAAATGCCACCACAGTACTTACACTCAAATTTCGTCAGCTCGAATTTCTTTCTGCAGACGAAACATCTTACCACCCTGGCCAGCTCAAGCTCAGCACTTCCATTCACCTCTTCACTTCTTGAGCCCTCATCACTTCCGGAACTGATCACCAATGGTGGAGAACCGGTAGACGAACTCTCCATATTATCAAATTTACCCAGGTCATTTCTTCTTACGATATCTAGTAGTTCAGAGAACGAAAGCGGCGAACTCTCCATTTTCCTTGACCGGCTGGCACGGTCATTTCTTCTGACCATAGATATCCATTCCTCCAGGGTAATTGTTGACTGCTCTGCTCTGACCCAATTTTCACCTGGATTAGTTGTATTTGAGTAGGTAGCCTCCAGCCTTTTTGCCGCTGTGATGGCAGCTTGTTCCTCAGCAAGAAGAACGTCGAAACAATTATCACAGTAATTCAATTTTTTATCTGGGACAAAGGAGCCACAGCCATTGGCACAAAGGTTAGAACTCATGTTTGTTTCTGTTAAGAGAAAAAAAAAAAAGAAGAGTTTGTGAATGCCTTAAGTTCTTCTCTGCTGGGGAATTTATCATCTGCCAAAAGGAAAAGGCAAAGGCCACAATTATTTGTTGCAACTTCAATTATCAAACCCCTTGGACAAGTCAGTTTTAAGTACACTGTATTCACATTGTAGAAGATATAGCATGTGTTTCCTTCTGTTCTTAAAACTGACACGAGTGAAAGGTCCCACACGGTGACCGATGCTTCACTTTTCTCATCTCATTATCGGTAGAGTAATGCTACAGTTACCGAAAGGAGCACACTGAATTCATGCACCGAATGACGTAGCGTAATCCTGACTATCGATTAATATTAATTCATAATTAATCGACGGTCAGGATTGCACCACATCATTTGGTGTATGAATTCGGTGTGATCCTTTCGGTAACTATATTATTTTTCTTACCGGTATTATTAGCCCAACACTACTTCATTAATCAGCTTATTAATTGATTCTAATTAGTCTTTAATGGAAATTGTAAACTTGCACCATTTAGTTTAGGAGGTTAAAACATTAGCATCCTTGAGGTTTAGTGTTAGTTAGTTGACTTAAACCCAGATATTCTAACAAGTAACACTTCAGGTCCAAATTAATGTTATGAAATAATGACAAATTCATCTAAAAATTAACCGTTGTTATCTAATTCATTAGATTGAAAGGTAAACTTGGAAATTCATTAGATTAAATTTATCACCACTAATCTCCAGTAATCTCCCATGGCAGCTAGGAGTGTAAACAAGTCGAGCCGAGCCAAGCTTTGGGCTAATCGGGCTTAGCTCGGTTGTTACAGTATTGAGTTTGATCTTGGCGAGCTTGAAAATTCGAGCTTGACATTGAAAATTAGAACTCGAGCTTGAGCTCACTGAAAAAACTCTCCAAGTCTCCACTTTTCCACTATCCTAATCAGGCTTTTCAAGTCGAAATCTGGTGAGCTCGAACTCAGCTTGACACTGTAGCCGAGCTCATCACCATTCATCTTTTGGAAGACTCGAACTCATCTCCAATTAAAAAAAATCAAAATTAAAAGCCAAACCCAAATGAAAACCACCAATACCTTCTGATCAAATCCAACAATTCAATATCTTTTGGTAGGCGGAGGAGGGGGAAAGGGAAGAGGTTCTTGTTTTTATAATATAATGTATTTTGTTTAACGTTTATTTTAATATTTTCTTAGGTTCTTAATTTTTCTCTTTTTTGTTATTATCTTTTTAAAATCGTATTCCTAAATTCTATAATATATTTTTTATTAAAAAAATATTATTTAAACAAAACTTAAGTGTGATGTAAATACTTATTATTCGTTTGAATAAAATTGATATATTATTTCTAAATTTCAATTTCTATTAGTAGAAATGAAAAATATTTTGTTGAATATTTTTTTATATGTTATTATGTCACAATTATTGTTTTAGTTATTTTACTATATACAGATTTTGTTTACGAGAAAACAAATTCAAAAAAAGGAAGTTAATTTTCGGGTAAAATTATCACTATCTTATAATGTTTGGATTTATAAGTGATACACTAAACCTTAAGGGTGTTAAACCTTTATGAGACGAAAAAGCCAGGTAAAACCAATAAAAAAAATCGATTTACTTAGCAAAAGGAGAGAGAGAGATTCTAACCCTCGATAGTTCTTTGTTCCGAACTATATCGGTTTTCAAGATTGGAGCTATCAATCACTCGGTCATCTCTCCAAAAGACAATTTTGATTTTACTTTTACCAAATAGAACATGGTCATATCAGTTGATACCATCACTATGTATAGAAAGTAGAAAAAGATATCTTGTGTGAATCTATAGTTCAATCTATCTATTTGTATATATAGAGAATAGATAGATGCATTATTCATTTGGTGTTACAAGTGGGTGTGGGTGGGCTGGAAATGGAAGCATTATTTGTGCATGTTGTGGGCATCTATCTTTGTAGGGTATTGCTATTTGTATTCGCTTTTGGGGGCAAAATTAATAGGGTGTACTTTAATTGAATTAGAAATTGCAATTTTTACACAAACACTTATGCAAAGTTGTCTTCACAATTTGCAAAACATATTATGCTTGCTTTAGCCAAAGAAAATTTACAATCTGTAAAACCCTTTTCTGGATTTTAAGTCTCTAATAGAATATGTAAATATGCACCATTGATTTTGCACATTTGTTTCAAGTGGATGTGGATGCTAGCAAATAGAAGCTTTTGTGAAGCTTAGAGCTATCTATCTTTGTGACAGTTTAGGAGGAGTGGAACTTTCAATTGAATTAGAAATTGCTAAATTTGTATAGACATTTTGATTGTTGTCCAAATTAATACGGGGTGTTTATCTGAGCTTATGAAAATTAGTTTATAAGCAACAAGTACCTATAAGCTAATTTTAGTTTATAAGCATTTGAAATTTTAAGCAATTACATGGTTGGTTAAAGTACTTATAAATGACTGATAAGCAATTAACGTGTTTGGTAAAATGTGACTTATAAGTACATTTTATTATAAAATTACTAAAAATGGTATTACATTAAATAAGGGTATACTATGGAATTTTAAAATTAAACAAGGATAATGTGGTAATATACATGGTTAAACTAACTTATAAGAATAAATTATTATTTTTTTGCTTATAAGCTCAAAAAAGTTATAAACAAACAGGTTAGCTTAATTTTAGAGTTTATAAGCTAGTTTGACCAACTTATAAGCTTAGACAAACACCTCGTAGGTGAAATCAATAATCAAAGAAACCGGCATCTATTGATGGTAATTATCAATTGCAAATATCCACGCTAATCAACAAAGTTTTAAAGTATAAGAAAACTATAGAAAATACAAATAAATAAAATTATAAATTGAAAATATAGTATGGCTTGGATTTGGTGCAACTCTGTACTAATGAGACCATAGCAATGCTCATAATAATTAACTATTTCTGAGTGGCTGAGTGATTTGGTGGAGACTCTTGGATATATTACTCAAGAGGTATTGAGTTCGAGTCTCTTATCTATTGCTAATAGGCTAATAGGGATAGTCACTGGAACTTTTATCCAATCGATAATTCCAGGGTCCCGGGGGTTCTCTCCAATCTCATGTCTATCTTTTTTTGATCAAATTGAATTAACTTTGAAGTGGCATTGTTGGTATTGAGGAGTTAAGTTAATATATCCAGTTCTGAAATGAAACTCTACAAGCTTCTAAGGATCAACAAATTTCAAACTTTTTTATAACATTTAGGCTCTATTATAAAAGTTCAGCAAATTTTGGTGAATAAATTTTATTGATTTTTCCAAATTCAGATCAAATGATATTTTTTTGTAACTTCTTTTCTATATTTTTCTGTAATAGAGTGCTGGTATTGGAAAACCATAATTTATCAAGCAACCTAGTATATCATTTCCACGGTGCAATATGCTATTCAATAAAAATAATAACAGAAATTCACTCAGAAGATATACCAAATTAATAGGTGGGGTGAAAACTATGTATCAAGTTTCAATACTGTATTTTAAGGTTTAGCCATGATTTGCGAAAGGATTAGCAATTTTTATTAAATTCAATTAGGGATGACAACTTGCCGCGAGTTTGCAAGAACTTGCCCTACCTGGCCTGGCCCTGCCCCACCCTGTACGGGGTGGGGATTCATCACAATAGGCGGGGATAAAGATGGGGATAACTATCCCCCACCTTTGCCCCATCCCATATACTCATATATATATATCCCACCATTCTATAAGATAAAATTATATGTGGTCCATTAATATGTAAATAATATTATGGTTTAATATATAAGTTGAACAATATCTAGACATTATCTAATTACTATTTCAACAGTTATAACGTGTATTTGAGGAAAATTTATTTCTTATAAACTTCGTCCTTTTTTTGTTTATTAAAGAAAGTTAAAACGTATTTCTCTATTAATTAGAAAAACAACAGTTTTGAAAAATTAAAGTGAGGAAATGTGAGAGAAACCCGGTATTCTTCATCACAGAAATCACTACCAATGGCTTAAGGTATGTTTTTATGATTAACTGTTTATTATCTTTTATATCACGTAAAATTCTTGAAATTGAAAGATCCTGCAAGTTGAGGTTTCATGTAGATAAATTTACACATTCGCCTCAAACGCAGCGTTTTACTCTAAATGACGACACAGCCATTTAGAAGATTGCTGAGGGCACCTAAGTAATTTAAGAAACAAACAGCCCTCTTCTTCCTATAAATAAAGGCGAAAGCTAACTCAAAGCCAAAACCCTAGCCGGCGGCCTGTATTAGGTGAAAAAAAATGAATCTGCTTTTCCTCAAAATCTCTTGATAGAGAAGAGAAGAAGGTGCGGTGATGAAGGAGTAATTAATCTCGTTAATCTGAGATTAACATGAAGATAATCTCTCTATCCATTCTAAATCATACTGAGCACCTTCTCTTCCTCTTCGCAAACTTCTTTCATTCATTTTTGTTTTTGTTTTTTGGTTTTTGTTTTTTAACATTAAAACTCAAATTAAATATCAATTTTCTGTCGAATTCATGGTAAATCGTATCGTTGATGATGCAGCATTTCACAAAGTAGAGAATGAATTACCTCCCGTTTTTGGGAGGAAAATTTGTGAGGAGAATGAATCCGAGTAATGTAGGGCGGGGCGGGGACGGGAAATGGGATCCCCGCCCGCCTCCGGCCAAGAGAGAAAGGCTTTATTCTTTCATTCTTTTTTGTCAGCATTCATAGAATTAGATCTGTGTATCTGGTTATGTGCAAGTGTAGTCTGTAGACAATTGGACAATGAAACATTCTTTAAAACTTCAAAACCTACAGTTGAAAACCTCAGAATTATTGGTTTTCAAATGAACTTTTTCTTTTCCTTGTTTCATGAAAATGTCAGAATGCCTATGTGTATGATCTTTAGCTGAAATTTTTACCTCGAGTTGTTCAACTCTGCTACAATCTTGACTTGAAATAATACATGTATGGAACACAGACTGAATGCTTACAGATGAGTAACTGATTATTAGCCATTGATCATTTAGGTTGGTTTCTATGGCGAAGTAACAGGCAAAAACAATTAGCTTGAAGGCCTTAGTGGGCAGAGAGAATTACAGTGTTATATTTGCTGAATCAGATCCGGGTTTCACTGATATTCTGCTTAGTTTCCAGAAAATCCCGATGAGAACTATCATTAGGTTTATTTCTAATCACAATAATACATCTTCTGCAATGATTCAGAATGCCGTTCTTTAAAGAAGTCGAGTCTTTACATTAATGCTATAGTGAATATGGAGAGCGTATGGATCACGAGATGCATTTGTATGAGAATACCTTGCAGTTAATTTTTCAAGTTCTATAATGGTGGTTCTTGATTCTGCAAAGCTGTAATCTACTGGTGACTTCTTTTATGTCTGAATCTGCTCAAACTAATGGCTTTAGCCAATTCCAGAATGTTGAGGACATAACATTGATTTTGGGTCGGTTCAATTTCAGGTAACCAGTGCATAAGAATTTACAGGTTATGCATTGCATAGCATTTTCATTTCAGCACATGAAACCATTATTAGCTAAATCAGATATCGTCTGCATAGATCATCTGCAATTAAAATTGCTCTTTAATAATTTGCCCAAGTAATTGTACATTGTAAGAAGAATCAGAGGTAATGTTCTGAAATTTATTTCTATAGTCAAGATTTTCATGAATGAATGAATCGACAAGTTGGATGATTCTGTCGTGTAGGGATTCAATGGTTTTCTCACCGTGGATGCTAAACTGGCTCAACGAGTTCTTGCTGTTTGATGATATTTGCTTCAAAAATTAACTTGTTCCTGCATCTTCTCACTAAGCATGTTCAAATTTCTAATATTCTTATGCCTTCTGGACTTAATTATTCATGTCCAAAATTTTAATATTAATCTTAATGATTAAGCTCTGTCAACCCAGGAGGTAAATTAACTTAATTCAAAACATGTTCCACATAGGATTATTTTCCCACCAAAATTTATGAAATTAACGATTGATCTCCTTGTAAATGAGGAGTGACATTTTCGCACCCAAATGCAAAATTTATGAAATTAGGATAAAAATATAATTTTCAAAAGAAAGAAAAAACAAAAATTGAAAAAAAAAAAAAAAAAAAAAAGTTGCCCAAAAGCCACCAACGAGTTGGCCAACTTTTTTCTTTTCAGTTTTTTTTTTTATAAATTTTATAATTTTTTTATTTTAATAACTGACTTTATTTTTTATTTTTTTAAATTTATTAACCTTAAAATTAATGTAAAACAAATTAGGGGTAGAAGATATGTTTAATAAAGTTTAGGTGGTCGTTAAAAATTATAAAGTCAAATGGTAAAGGGTATTATAGTATTTTCATAGCTTTAATAGAATCCGTCGATGGAGATTGGAGTTGGAGATTGATAATGGGTGGTGGGAAATTGTTTTTCTCAAAGTTTATGGTGGAAAGATGCGATTACGGCAAACCTTGGGTTGGGAAATTGTCATTCACTCAACTTAAAAAGTGTAACCCTAAAAGCAGCTTTTCAGAAGCTGTTTTGCAATTGTACGAGGGCATTTGTAGAAAGATTCGCTACCCAGTTCAAGCTGAAAATTAGAAACAATTCGTGAGTACTTTCTTGCTCTTCTGTTTTTTTTTTTTTTTTTTTTATTATTAATTTGTATTTGATTTGGCCATGTTCGTTTGTGCTGCAAAAGACTGCAATTTCAACTAGTCGCAAATTGGAGAAATACGGCATACTCGATGATCCATTTGACTCTTCTTTTGCAGAATACCTCACTTTTTTTTCTAAATCTTTCTCATCGGCTGAAGTTGTGGCACATGATAGAGAACAACATTCATTCACAGTGTCTTATTTCACAAACTCATGTGGGTTGTCCCTAGAAATTGCTGCTTCTTTGTCAAAGAAAGTAACTTTTGAAACCCCAGAAAACCAGATTCTGTACTTGGCCTTCTCAGAAAAAAAATAAAATGGTTTTGCCAATGTCCACATATCTAAACTAGTTAAAAATGACCGAAAGTGCTTGTAGGCAGTGTTGAGGAAACTCTTTTACCCAGCTTGAGTTCTTCCGTTCCGTGGGATTTCTGGTACTGACCTTGGGAATGTACTGTCCTCAAACCCTTTTGTACCGTAGTTTAGAGAAACAAATTATCCCTAACTATAATTTCCTCAAGAGTTTGGTTTCCAACAGTGAAAAAAATTGTAATGTTTGGAAGTGGGCAATTCATTTGCATGATGTGCAAAAGAAAGTTGTTCCCAATATGCCTGCCTTGAAAGGAATTGGAGTGACACAATCAGGTATTTCAACTTTGGTCACCTCAAATCCTGGTGTATTGTGTGAAAGTTTTGAGAAGTTTGATGAATGTGTCAAGATGGTTTTCGAGATGGGATTCAATCCTTCAACCAGTGCATTTATCCACGCACTTGTAGCAGTAATGGCCATGACCGACAATTCCTGGGAACAAACAGTCACACAACCCCAACTCCTATAAACCTTCAGTTTTTGTTCCTGGAAACCAAACTCTTGAGGAAATTATAGTTAGGGATAATTTGTTTCTCTAAGCTACTGTGCAAAATAGAAGTGTTTGAGGACAGTACATTCGCAAGGTCAGTACCAGAAATCCCCACAGAATGGAAAAACTCAAGCTTGGGTGAAAGAGTTTCCTCAACACTGCCTACAAGCAATTTTGGTAAATTTTTAACTAGTTTGGATATGTGGGCATTGGTAAACCCATTTTTTCCTGTGAAGGCCATGTCTAGAATCTAGGATTGTTTTCTTGGTGTAATAGCACAAATTGTCATGTTGGTTTGCTCCTAACACCAGTTGGCGGAGGTGTCTTCTTTTTCTCCTCTACTCTTCAATCTGGTGAGTAAAATCTACATACTGAGCAAAACCTTCAATACATTGTTATTAATACTTTTCAACGATTACGATGTGTGGTTTTGTGTATAGAGGGCTTGTATATGCACAAGTTTTACCAAGCATTTATAGGTTTGTCGTCCAAAATTTAGGCACTAATCATGTGGATTTGTGTTTGGGTTTGTTGCCCAATAGCATTAGATCATTCTCAACCGATATAGAACAAGTTAAACAGGACCACTCATTTACTGTGTCATACCTCATAAATTCATGTGGGTTGTCCCCAGAAAAGGCAAAATCTGTCTAAAAAATAATCAAGCTTTAATCTACTGAACAACCAGATTCGGTCCTGAAAGTTCTAAGAAACCATAGATTTACAGCTGCCCATATAACCAAAGTTGTTGGACTGCACCCTAGAGTACTTTTAGCCAATCCTGAGAGGTCAATATTGCCTAAATTTGAGTTTTCTTAACTCTTTCGGGGTAACAGATGCTGAGGTTGTGAGTGTTTGCTCGTCAACTCCAGCTATATTAGTTATTTTGTGTATATATATATATATATATATAAACTAAAGTTAGTGTTTTTGGTTCTTATAAATACATGTATATATATTTATTTTAGAAATTAAGTAAATATTTATTGGCTTTTATCATAAATCCCCTAAACCCTAAAGGATAATCCCAAGGTGTTTAACGGTTATTTATGTTCTGCAGTCATAGGGGTTGGTGAATAATAGTAATTTCTTAAGTTCGTTTCAAAGACCTGTTGAGAAGCTATTCTTGGATAGGTTTGTGACAAAATACTTGGACCAGGTTCCTAAATTGATTAATATCTACCAAAGGAAGGAAGGCTTTCAGGCTCTGGATATGAATATCTATGGGTGTGTTTGTTTTGTTATTTTGGGTAGGATTTTTGAAATAATATTGTGGAGTTGAGTTGCGTTATTATTACGAGAATATGATTTGAATAAAATGTGTTTGGTAGAGTATTTTGACTTTGTTATTTGAGTTGAATAAATTGTTGAATATTTGTTTGGTATATTTTTTTTATAGCTGGGTTAGTGGTGAAAGAGATTTGGTGCTCACTTCACGGATCCTAATAACACACTCTACTAAAAAAACTTTATTACAATCACTCACTCACTCACTCACATACACACAAAGACAATACGTAAACAGCAAAACCATACAAACAAACATAATACATAAACAACAAAACCTGAAGTGTATGTGAAAGAAGCAGGGAGCTGTGCGCCGAAATAGTGTAGATCAGCCTGACTGAGCTTCGCAAGAGGTTGAATGTAGGTGGAAGAGAAGTTGTAGCGGTGGTTGGTGGTTGGAAGAAGACGGACTGGAGAAATAAAGAAAAAGAAAGAAGGAAAGAGAAAAAAAAAGTTGCAGATGGCAGGTGGAAGAGAGAGTTGTTGCGGTGTTTGGTGGTTGGAAGAAGACAGACTGAAGAAATAAAGACAAAGAAGAAGAAAGAAATAAAGGAAGAAAGAAGGAAAAGATTAAAAAAAAAAATTTGGAGATGGCAGGTCCCACAAACAGAACGGTCAAATATGTCAAGAATCAAATTTCTTGGATACAATTCCATGAGTAATAAAACAAATGCATATTCTGAAAATTTGAGACCAAATAGTATCATAAATAGTTACCCAAACGCACCCTATCTTTTCTTCCGGCAAACTGTAGAATGTCAACTTTCCAAACCTAAAAGGATTGTATGGTCTCCATTTGGTGGTCATTAAATTTCAGCATTCTAGTTTATTTAACAATGTTGAATTACTTCAGTTAGTTCTGCAGAGCAACATTGTTTTCATCACTTTCCAATTTGCATTTGATTGTATACTTTAGTTCATATTTAGAATGTGGTAAACTTTTAAGCTAATTTGTTACATGACTAGTAGATGCAGACCTGAACCTTAATTATGAGGTTTTGATTTACTCCAGGTCCTCCCTGGAGTTTCTAACCAGCCCTTCCTTGCTAGCAAATTGCTGTGAAGCTTGGAAGTCACAGAAAGATATGAATCAGTGATATTGATTGACTTGAACAATATAATAGATTTGATGCTTGGTAATTTTGCTTGCGCAACTTCTTTGTTTGGTTGACGTGTCCTCCTGTATAATTGTAATTGCAATATTCTATCAATCTCCATTGCACTGGAGGCAGATTTCAGGTATGCAGTGGTGAAGTTAAATTCCTTGTGGGAAAGAGGATATGTTTATTGAGATTCAGACATCAGTGAAGGGGATTGATAGGTAGTCTTGCTTAACTTGAACTATGTTTTGGAGTGAATTTTAGTATGTCTTCTCTGCTGATGTCCTCTGAAAAGTACTTGATAGACACATTTTTGTCCAAGGTATTTGATATATTTCAGGGGAAAATTCATCAGATTTGAACAAGAGCCTGAGGCAAATCAACCGTAGCTTCTCATTTGTTAATTCTTTATACACATGGTTTTCTTATTGTTGTTTGTTAATTTCGGTGCCTTTGATCCTGAACTTTTTCAGCTCTGGATACAGCCTACAGCTTCTTTTTATCTGTTCTTATTGTTTAATTGGACAAATTGAAATGTTTGAAGTTGATGAACACACAGAGTAATGGACTGAGTAATTCAGGTTATACAAATCTCTAACTTGGTTCTGTTGTTTGCCCCATGTCAACCAGAAAATAAACATTCCCCTTATCTTTTCCTGATGGATGCTCCAATTTTTTTAATTTGTTTTAACAGAGCATAATTGAAAAGTGCATTTCCTTATCTTTATTTAGTAATAAAAAAATTTATTTCCGATTTAAGATAATTATAAATAAGAATAAATTTTATACTATAATAAGTTATTATTTTTCTATTTCTCATCTTAAAAAAATTGTTTCTATATAGTAATAACTATTTATTATTATTATTATATATATATATATATATATATATATTAAAGGTTTAAGATGAAATAAAATATTTATCTAAAACATGAATTATGATATAAGAAATCAAGTAATATTAAAAATAGATAACAAATCGTAATACTGTCAAAATAATTAATTAAAATCTTAATACGTAAACGTTAATTATAAAATAAGAAGTTAATTATAAAATAAGAAATTATAACGGTAATTTTTGTAATTACATTTTTATTAAGTTATAATTTCTTTATAATAATAAAGTAGTTTGACGTCATTATAATTATAAAGAGTTTTTACTTTTTTTATGAATTTTACATTAACCAGAGTAATGTATTTATTTGTTTGTTTTAGTTTAAAAGTCATGTAACTTATGAAACTTCACTAAAATCCTCAAATTTTGTTCAATTATGCGGGTAAATACATTTCAAGAAAAATCATAAAAGTCCTTAACGATTCCGTCTGTTGCCGTTAACTCAACAGAGCCAATTTTGCCCTTGGCTTTAGGTTTAGCCGTTTTGAAGGTGAAGAAGTCAAGAAGAGAGTGAAGACATTTCCACCTTATTTGAAGCTTCTCATGAAAATAAATTTCTAACTGGCTTTGTATACAGGAATAGGACTTGTTCGTTTGCTCCTGATACCAGTTGGAGGAGGTGTCTTCTTCTTCTTCTTTACTCTTCAAGCTGGTGAGTGAAATCTACATACTGAGCAAAACCTTCAATACATTGTTATTAATCTTTTCAACGATTACGATGTGTGGTTTTGTGTATAGAAGGCTAGCATATGCACAAGTTTTACCAAATATTTATAGGTGTGTCGTCCAAAATTTAGGCACTAATCATGTCGATTTGTGTTTGGGTTTGTTACCCAGTAGCATTAGATCATTCTCAACCAATATAGAACAAGTTAAAAAGGAACACTCATTTACTGCGTCATACCTCATAAATTCATGTGGGTTGTCCCCAGAAAAGGCAAAATCTGTCTCCAAAAGAATCAAGCTTCAATCTACTGAACAACCAGATTCGGTCCTGAAAGTTCTAAGAAACCATGGATTTACAGCTGCCCATATAACCAAACTTGTTAGAATGCGCCCTAGTTTGCTTTTAGCCAATCCTGAGAGGTCAATTTTGCCTAAATTTGAGTTTTTCAAGTCTTTGGGGATCACAGATGCTGAGCTTGCGAGTGTTTGCTCTTCAACTCCAGCTATTTTGGGTCACAGTTTGGAGAACCTACTCATTCCTAACTATAAATTCCTCAAAAGTGTGCTTCTCTCTGATGCTAATGTTATTAAATCGTTTAGAAAAAAATCATGGCTCTTTCAGCAAGATTTGGCAAAGAATGTGTCTCCGAAACTCACAGTTCTGAGAGAACTTGGAATGCCCGAGCCTTTTATTGCACTGATTTTAACATGTTTTGCCAGTATTGTCCTCCAAAAATTTGAGAAGTTTGACCAAAATGTCAAGAAGGTTATTGAACTGGGTTTTGATCCTCAGAAATGTGGGTTCATCCATGCAATGCAAGTGTTTGCAGCAATGAGTCAATCAACTTGGGAACAAAAATTGAACGTTTTCAGGGGGTGGGGATGGTCTGATAAGGACATTATGTTGGTGTTCAGAAAATGCCCCAATTGTATGAATACCTCTGAAAGCATAATGAATGCAATGGATTTTCTTGTGAACAAGATGGGTTGGCAGTCCACAGATATTGCCTTGTATCCAGACGTTTTCCTTTTGAGTTTGGAAAAGAGAGTAATCCCAAGGTGTTTGGTTATTAAAGTTCTGCAATCGAAGGGGTTGCTGAAGAAAAATTTGAGCCCAAGTACATGTGTAAAACCTGTTGAGAAGCTATTCTTGGATAGGTTTGTGACAAAATACTTGGACCAGGTTCCTGAACTAATGAATATCTATCAAAGGAAGGAAGGCTTTCAGGATCTGGAGATGAATATCTATGTTTCTTCCAGCAAACTATAGCATGTCAACTTTCCAAACCTAAAATGATTGTATAATCTCTAATTGGTGATTATTACGTTTCAGCTTTGTAGTTTATTGAACAATGTTGAATTACTTCAGTTAGTTCTGCAGAGCAACATTGTTTTCATCACTTTCCAATTTGTATTTGATTGTATACTTTAGTTCATATTTAGAATGTGGTAAACTTTTAAGCTAATTTGTTACATGAGTAGTAGATGCAGATCTGAATCTCAATTATGTGGTTTTGATTTACTCCAGTCCCTGGAGTTTCTAACAAGCTTTTCCTTGCTAGCAACTTACAGTGAAGCTTGGAGGTCAGAGAGAGAGATGAATCAGTGATATTGATTGACTTGAACAATATTATAGATGTGATGCTGTGATATTTTTGGTTGCGCAACTTCTTTGTGTGGTTGATGCGTGCTCCTGTATAATTGTAATTGCAATATTCTATCAATCTCCATTGCACTGGAGGCGGATTTCAGGTATACAGTGGTGAAGTTAAATTCCTTGTTGGAAAGAGGATATGTTTATTGAGACTCTGACATCAGTGAAGGGGATTGATAGGTAGTCTTGCTTAACTAGAACCATATTTTGGAGTGAATTTTAGTATGTCTTTTGTGCTGATGTTTTCTGAAAAGTACTTGATGGACACATTTTTGTCCAAGGTATCAGGAACAGGTTCCGCAACTATTTGATATATTTCAGGGGAAAATTGATCTTTTGGAACTGGGCATCATCAGATATGAGCAAGAGCCTGAGGCAAATCAACTGTAGCTTCGCATTTGTTAATTCTTTATACACATGGTTTTCTTATTGTTGTTTGTTATTTTGGGTGTCTTTGGCCCTGAACTTATTCAGCTCTGGATACAGCTGGCAGCTTCTTTTATCAGCTCTCATTGCTTAATACACAGGAGTAATATACTGACTAATTCATGTTATAAAAATCTCTATTTTGGTTCTGTTGTTTGCCCCATGTCAACCAGAAAATAAATATTCCCCTTATCTTTTCTTGATGGATGTTGCTGTAAGAATTGACTTGACATATTACCTTGTGTTCCAAATTCTTTTAATTTGTTTTAACTTTTAACAGAGCTGTACTTGTGTTCCCTATGGATCACCTGGTTTGTTTTAATAGAGTATAAGTTTCATTTTACCCATGTGCAATGTTGGAACATAAACATATGGCAAATCCTGAATATATTCTAATAATCAATCAAAATATTTGTATTAATGTTGCTTTAATTATACTATTTGATTATGTTAGCAATGTATTAATTACATTAATAGTGATTACTTTCTTGCATTAATTATCTCTAGTATTTTGAATAGATGAAGGTAAATTAAGTCATTATATATAAAAATTCATACTCTATCCAAGAGATAAAAAAATAGAAAAAAAAAATTAAAATCTATTCGAGATGTTAGAAAAAATAAATAAAAACAATAATGGCGACAATGTTGGGATTTATTAGACCACTTTGAGAAAATAAAACAGAGAGGTTACTCATCAATTCAATCAAATTGATTAAGCATGTTGAGAATTGGTTTACTTAGTAGTTCTATTCCGACTCGCAACTATGACTCAGATTTATGGACCAGACCAGTGAATTCAATAGTAATCATGAACAACTGGTTTCTTTTTTCTCAAGGTGATGGGAGAGAATTGAAATCAAATCCTTTTCACATTGCTATGTTATGTATGGGGATTGGGGAATGTTTTGGGTTTAAAAAATAAAAAATAAAAATAATAATTTACTTGAGGGTTACATTAAGCTCCAAGGCCCTTGTATAAATCAACATTTCTGCCGGCCAGCCCTTTCTACAACTCGCTTCTCTTTCCTGACTTTTAAAACCCGTAAAAGCGTCTCCCCCTTTGAAACCCTAGTAATACCATGTGTTATGCCTGGGAAATCAAGGGCTGACGTGGAGTCATGTGACGAAACGTGGCCTGCTCCTGTCAGAACAGTAAGCGCACGTCGGGCCTACCAAGTGCCCTGAAGCTCCCACGTGTCCGCTTCCCTGCTCCAAATCGAGTAAAATCAGCTTGGGAAATGGGTAATGGGACATAAAGCCAGATTATGTCCTGACATTCATACCAACCCAAGGATTTAATGATGATTACACGCATTCAGCTTGATATAAGAAGAGGAAGACCCCTTCATTAAGGGGATTCGATCATTTTACATTGGAACTCTCCCTCTCTAAAAAAAGCTTTGTATTTACTTTTTCAATCATTTATAAGTCAGTCCGCTTTAACGACCTAACCCACCGTATAAATACAAATCAGTGGATGTAGGACTTGCTACCTTAGCATCCGAACCACTTTAAAAGCTCTCATTGCATTTATTTCATATTGATAATCCATATTCACGTGTGCTCCTTGTCCAATCAATGCTGCGCACGTGTCAATTAGTTGGTGCCTAAACCGCGCATCAACACCATGAGGTCGGAGAAAGTCACCCTCATTAGCCGTGACGGCGTCAATTTTGAGGTCGACAAAGCCGTCGCCATGCAGTCTGGGATGATCAAACTGTTGTTCGATGGAGTCAGATATGATCATCGCCTCCACATCCCCGTCGATGTTGACAGCTGGATCCTCGATCCAGTTGTCTTCTACCTAAAGAATAGTTTGGCCGGTCAGAGAGAAAAGATTTTAATTGATCATGGGTTAGACGATCTGCTTGGCCGCAAGACGAGATACGCTGCTGCTGCGGCTGCTGCAGCCGCTGCTGTCGTTGATGTTGATAGGGATCTTCGTGAGGTTCAGATCAAGAGGTTGGCGGCTAAGGAGAAGCACAATCACTGGGACGCGATGTTCGTCATGGTCGACCAGAACACGCTCTTTGACCTCATTCGAGTAACTACCTCTTTTTTTTTTTTTTTATCCTTGATCTGTTAGTTTGGTTCTATCCTTCTTTTAGTTAATCTTACTTGTTAATGTTCATTTTGTTTTGTTCGGTTCTATCCTTCAATTGTTAATCTTACTTGTTAATGTTTGCTGAACTGAAGTTGTTGTTGACTTAGTGTAGATCAGCTTTAGCATCAAGAGATATATATATTTCTGCGTTTGTGCAGTGTTCTTCTGTGTGTTTCTGGGTTTCTCTATTGGTGACTGTTACTGTTTTGGTTGTGTGTGTTTGAGATATTGGAGTGGGTATGCAGCACATTTTAAACGTAGTTGTGTTGTGCTAGACTTCTACTTTAGTTTACTTTCTTGTGTCTATTTTCTTGGTGTTTAGGGTTTGTTTCAGATCACTTATTAGTGTTGGCACAGCTATGTTCTGTCTCAGCTTTGTAACAATTGTATGTTTGATTTTTTGTTCTACAGGCCGCAGACTACTTGGACATTCCGGAGCTGCTGGACCTCACCAAAAAGGCACTTTTTGATAGGTTCGGGTGGGAGATAGAGATACCCGATGATATTTCTGGGATTTTTGACTTTATCTCGGAGAGGGAGGAGTTGATCTGATTCCGTCTGAAGGGAGAGGCTGTAGTTTTCTGTAAATATGTTTTAGTTAAGAGTAAACAACATTTACCAACCCAAGGTTTAGCCAATCTCTAAGTTCCCATCCATGGTTTCATAAATCTCAGATTCTCACCTATGGTTTCATAAATTCTAGATACCCACCCTTAAATTAACACCGTTAGTAATTTTTGGTTCTGACACAATATAGATAGTGCTAATACTAAATTGCCATTGACAAATAAAGTTATAAATTATTTTTTAACCCCCAAATGTATAGACAAATAACCATCATTCTTTCAAATTTATTTCGATAACATATTTTTCTTCAATCTCCCTCTTCTTGTATTCCGCAAAACCAAATGGGTGGCGGACGATCAGCAGTGAACAACCACCATCCGGTGAGATGAAACCATTGGTGGGAACTTGAAATTTATGAAACCAGAGGTGGGAACTTGGAATGTATGAAACCAAGGGTGGGAATTAGGAGATTCGCCAAACCTTGGGTGGGTAAACGTTGTTTACTCTTCTAGTGTTTACTCTTTTAGTAATAACACTCTGTTGAGACTTGATGATGAGGGTGTAGGAAAGTAGTGGATTGAAGAGATATTGGCAGGAAATTTCCATGGGTGTAGGTTGGGACAGGTGGTGATTGGGGATTGGGACAGCAAAGAAATTCAGTTGAGAGAGAGAGAGAGAGAGCTGGAGGATAAAAAGAGAGGGAGCGAGCAGATGAGTGGGAGAAGAAAATAGAAGGGATTAGGGAGGGATTAGCCCCCCAAGTCCAACATTATCCTTGTTTCCTTTGTTGAGTTTTCAGTTTGTTTGATCTTCTTTTTTAATTTGTTTCGGGTAGACTCTTTTGTTGTGTATTTTTATTTTGTTTTTGGATTATCAATAGAAGTGTTGGATGTTTTGATTTTCTGGGTTTATATTGTTTTGTTGCTTGCTCGTTTCTGTTGTTGTTGGCTGAGTTGGGAAAGGTATCCACCGGATTCTTTTGTGTTACATCAATGTCATCAACATATATTAAGACCAAATTACTCTTATAATTTAATAAGTGATCAATGGAATGAGTTTAAGGAGTATAAACCCCTAATAACCCTGGGACACGTGGAACCATACTAAAAGTGCGATCTCCAATCCTGGCACTATCATCCCATCCATCATCTTTTTACTTGTCAATTTTCACCATTGTTATAGAGCTTTTTCATTGAACATTTTGTTGACTTGAGCATTAGAGAATATACGTCGACAACCACCCAATCGACTTAAACTCCTTACCTCCTTTCTCGTTTTGCGAAGGTTCTAGTAACTATAGATAGGTATGATATTGGGCCTCCGAAATTCTGAAGTCCGTCTCGACCCGCCCAGTATGGGGTAAGAATTCCCCGATTTTTTTGAGGATAAGGGTGGGAATGGTAAGAGTTTTAATCCTCGACCTGACCCACCCTGCATATAATATATAAAAGAAAATAATACAGCCACCGACGGTAGTGCATCGAATTTGTGCACCGAATGATGTGACAAAATCCTGACCGTTGATTAATTTTAACTTAATATTAATCAACGGTCAGGATTTTGTCACGTCATTCGGTGCACAAATTCGGTGCATTACCGTCGGTGGCTATAGCATTACTAATATGTAAATTATCAAAGTTTTACACAATCAGTTCACTCTAAACACATCAATTTATCTTACACACCAATGTTATCTCAGTGAACTTAAAAAAATACAAAATAAACTGTAATAAACTTCATTTTAACTAGAAGGGTATCACAAATAAACAAGAGGAAGTATACAAATGTTGATGATGCAAATGACCACATTTCTCCATCATATATGAACCATGCATAATTTTTACTAAAATTAACATCCATTTAAGTAGTTGTCTACCCTAGCCATTATTTCTTATCTAAAAACCGAAAAATCTCTTGATTTCCAAAACTTTATAGTGCTTCCTTCGTTTGCTTATGGTAAAACGGCAATCTTTTTCGAATTGTGAACAGAAAACAAAACATGAACTATACTTTGGATAAAAGAATAGAGAGATGGGATGATTCATATCATTGTTATTGCTTTCTCTTCATAATAATCTTCTTACGCAATTTACATTTGTTTTCAACATTATTTTTTCCAAAATTCATGTAAACTGACTATTTTATCTACAGTTTTTTGTCTAATTGTATGACTCAGTTATAAATATAACATTATTGTTCATTCAATATTTTTTAATCATTCAACTAAATTAAGAAAAAAAAACAATTTTTTAATAGGTTAATAATAACATGGGTGCGCTTGGTTCATTATTTAGATACTTTATAGGTTTGTTAATTTACTAAACACGCCTGTAATAAAACATTGAAAATTTACAAAAACACTCCCACCCACCCATTAAATACCGGCAGCCAGCCACCACTGTTGTAGGGTGGCCAGAGTCACTGTATCGGCACACGACTGACTGGATCTGGCCGTGTTTGGTCGTCAACAACAGCCAAAGATATGAACGTCATTAACGATTAGCTACAACCAAAGATCTAGCATTTTCCGGCAAGATCCACTGTGGACTGGCCGAAAAAGGCCAGATCAGCTCACTACCAGCCACATCCAACTGGTAGTGCGTCATTATATCAGATTTTGACCACCTTCTAGCAGTGGTGATCAGAATCTTGCAAATGTGGTTTGGTAAGGGTGTTTTTGTTAATTTCTAAACTTTCTTTGGGGTGTTTATTAAATTAACAAACTAGGGGGTATAAAAAATTGAATAAAATATAATAGTATTTTTAAAATGGGGAAACAAAAAATTGCGAAACAAACTAATTTACCATAAAGGCAAAAACTGCCAAACAAATCAAATGAATAAACTTATGGGGTGTTTGTCTAAGCTTATAAGCTGGTCAAACTTGCTTATAAGCTTTAAAATTAAGCTGACCTGTTTGTTTATAATTTTTTTGAGCTTATAAGCTAAAAAAAATAAGTTGGGGGAGGTACTTTTTTTTTTTTGGCTTATAAGCACTTTGCTTATAAGCTAGTTTGACCAAGTATATTACCATATTATCCTTATTTAATTTTAAAATTCCATAGTATGTTATTGTTTAATGTAGTACATTTTTTAGTAATTTTATAATAAAATGTACTTATAAGCCACATTTCACCAAATACGTCAATTACTTATCAGTTACTTATAAATACTTTAACCAAACACGTAATTGCTTAAAATTTCAAATGCTTATAAGTTAATTTTAGCTTATAAGCAATTGTTGCTTATAAGCTAATTTTCATAAGCTCAAACAAACACCCCTTAATTAACTCAACAATTTGATATAAAATTTATTATATATTTTGGCTCTCTTCACGTTGAAGAGAATTCGAGTGGAAGGATATCTTTTATAAAATCATAGAAGTCCTTAATGATTCCGATTCCGTCTGTTGCCGTTAACTCACCGGGGCCAATCCTAATTTTGCCGTTAGGTTTAGGTCCAGCCATTTTGAAGGTGAAGAAGTCAATAAAAGAGTGAAAAAAGTTCCTCATCTGAAGATTCTCATATGAAAAGGATTGTTTTCTTGGTTGTAATAGCACAAATTGTCATGTTCGTTTGCTCCTAACACCAGTTGGCGGAGGTGTCTTCTTCTTCTTCTCCTCTACTCTTCAAGCTAGTGAGTGAGCAAAACCTTCTATACATTGTTATTAATATTTTTCAACGATTATGATATGTGGTTTTGTGTATAGAAGGCTAGTGTATGCACAAGTTTTACCAAATATTTATAGGTGTGTCGTCCAAAATTTAGGCACTAATCATGTCGATTTGTGTTTGGGTTTGTTGCCCACTAGCATGAGATCATTCTCAACCAATATAGAACAAGTTGAAAAGGACCACTCATTTACTGTGTCATACCTCATAAATTCATGTGGGTTGTCCCCGGAAAAGGCAAAATCTGTCTCCAAAAGAATCAAGCTTCAATCTGCTGAACGACCAGATTCGGTCCTGAAAGTTCTAAGAAGCCACCGATTTACGGCTGCCCATATAATTAAAGTTGTTGGATTGCGCCCTCGTGTACTTTTAGCCATTCCTGAGAGGTCAATATTGCCTAAATTTGACTTTTTTAACTCTTTTGGGGTAACAGATGCTGAGCTTGCGAGTGTTTGCTCTTCAAATCCAGCTATTTTGGGTCGCAGTTTGGAAAATCTGCTCATTCCTAACTATAAATTCCTCAAAAGTGTGCTTCTCTCCGATGAAAATGTTATCAAATTTTTTAGAAAAAAATCATGGCTCTTTCATATAGATTTGCCAAAGAATGTGTCTCCGAAACTTACAGTCCTAAGAGAATTTGGAATGCCTGACCCTCTTATTGCACTGATTTTAATATGTTATGCCCCTATATTCTTCCAAAAACGTGAGAAGTTTGACAAAAATGTCAAGAAGGTTATTGAAATGGGTTTTGATCCTCAGAAATGTGGGTTCATCCATGCAATGCAGGTGTTTGCTTCAATGAGTCAATCAACTTTGGAGCAGAAGTTTAATATTTTCAGGGGGTGGGGGTGGTCTGATGAGGACATTATGTATGCGTTCAGAAATTGCCCCATTTTTTTTAATGCCTCTGAAAGCAAAATAATAAATGCAATGGATTTTCTTGTGAACAAGATGGGTTGGCAGTCCACAGATATTGCCTTGTATCCAGACGTTTTCCTAATGACTTTGGAGAAGAGGATAATCCCAAGGTGTTTGGTTATTAAAGTTCTGCAATCGAAGGGGTTGGTGAAGAAAAATTTGAGCCTAAGTACATGTGCAAAACCTGTTGAGAAGCTATTCTTGGATAGGTTTGTGACAAAATACTTGGACCAGGTTCCTGTACTGATGAATATCTATCAAAGGAAGGAAGGCTTTCAGGATCTGGATCTGGATATGAATATCTTCCAGCAAACTGTAGCATGTCAACTTTCCATACCTAAAACGATTTTATGATCTCTAATTGGTGATTATCACTTTTCAGCTTTGTAGTTTATTGAACAATGTTGAATTACTTCAGTTAGTTCTGCACAGCAACATTATTTTCATCACTTTACAATTTGCATTTGATTGTATACTTTAGTTTATATATAAAATGTGGTAAACTTTTAAGCTAATTTGTTACATGAGTAGTAGATGCAGATCTGAATCTCAGTTATGTGGTTTTGATTTACTCCAGGTCCCTTGAGTTTCTAAAATGCCCTTCCTTACTAGCAACTTACAGTAAAGCTTGGAGGTCACAGAAAGAGATGAGTCAATGATATTGATTGACTTGAACAATATTATAGATGTGATGCTGTGATATTTTTTCTTGCGCAACCTCTTTGTTTGGTTGATGTGTCCTCCTGTATAATTGTAATTACAATATTCTATCAATCTCCATTGCACTGGAGGTGGATTTCAGGTATGCAGTGGTGAAGTCAAATTCCTTGTTGGAAAGAGGATATGTTTATTGAGACTCTGACATCAGTGTAGGGGATTGATAGGTAGTCTTGCTTAATTTGAACTACATTTTGGAGTGAATTTTAGTATGTCTTCTGTGTCGATGTCCTCTGAAAAGTATTTGATAGACACATTTTTGTCCAAGGTATCAGGAACAGGTTCCGTGACTATTTGATATATTTCAAGGTTAAATTGATCTTTTGGAACTGAGTATCATCAGATTTGAGTAAAAGCCTGAGCCAAATCAACTGTAGCTTCTCCTTTGTTAATTCTTTATACACATGGTTTTCTTATTGTTGTTTGTTAATTTCGGTGCCTTTGATCCGGAACTTATTCAGCTCTGGATACAGCTTACAGCTTCTTTTATCAGTTCTCATTGTTTAATTGGACAAATTGAAATGAATAAAGTTGATGAACACACATGAGTAATGTACTGACCAATTCATGTTATACAAATCTCTAATGTCAACCAGAAAATAAACATTCCCCTTATTTTTTCTTGATGGATGTTGCCGTAAGAATTGAATTAACATATTATCTTGTGTTCCAATTTTTTAATTCGTTTTAACAGAGTATAATTGAACAATATATTTCCTTGAAGTTATTAATTTGAATTGCATGTTTTTAGCTACTCAATCTTGCAGTCTGTAGAAAGCTGTGCCTGTGTTCCCTATCGATCACCTGGTTTGGGTTTTACTTTCATTATCATTTTGTCTTTGTCACGGTTTCCTGTATTTACCTTATCTTCTAGTTTATGATTTTGTTATTTATCTTTCAGGCTTTGTTTTGATGATTATTGTTATTAGACATTATTGTGAAGAGTGGATTGGCAACTTTTTCCTTTCCAGGTTTAGAGAAGAAGATAATACTTCGTATTTATTATCTTTTTTATTTTATGGCCCGCTTATAATTGCCTTCTTTATGGCCCGCTTCAGCATATCTGCTGGGGCTCAAGCCCATATTCCAGAAAAGCTCTCCAGTGGCCCACTTCTCTTAATTCCAGCCCAATCTAATTAATTAAAATGCACACAGAGGTTTTATTCAATTAAAATGCAATATTAATAGTTTTTAATCCTGAATTATGTAATTAATTGGAAAAAATCAAAATGAATTGTGAATGTGTTAATATTCAAACCAACCTCACCAAACACAGAGAACCTTACCCATGAGGCTGTGTTTGTTTTATTATTTTGAATAATATTTTTGAAAAAATTGAATTGAGTTATTATTACGAGAATATAATTTGAATTTCAAAATGTGTTTGGTAAGATTATTTTTTAATCTACTACATTTGTTAATTTAGTTAAACACACCTTATAATAAAAGTTTTTAAATTAACAAAAAAAACCTCACTTACCCATTAAATGTTAACAGTCGATCATCACTGACGGACGGTAGTTGGAAGTCGTCGGAATAGTGCACGACCGGCTAGATGTGGCTGAGTAGGGATATTTAGTTAAATTAACAAACCTAGAGATTAAAAAAATTAATTATTTTGAGTTGAATACAGTAGAAATGGATTTGAAAATAGGGAAACAAATATGTAATTTGAGTAGGATAGGAATAGGATAGGAAAAAATAACTAAACAAAACAAAGCTTGTTTAGGGGTCTCACACGCCATGATTCTAGAGAGACTTGGTCAGTGACAGCCGAGTGTATACATGACAAAGCTTTGGCTGCCTCTTCTTCATGGATTCTCCTGGTTTAGCGTCGGGTTTGGTCCAAGCGGAGGAACTTGCTTCTCCTCCTCCACATATTGCCACAAACCATGACCTCTCAAGTAGGTTTTCATCTTAACAGCTCAAACATGTTACTGATCACCATTGAAGATAGGAGGCGAAAATGGGGTTGGGTTTGATGCCATGAGGAAGCTCACGTTTGGTGGTTTTGGGTCCTGAAAGATCAATATCAGCTATACCAATTGTAGGTTCTTGAGTCTGATTATACTAAGAGAAAGAAGGTTAACATGCATGAAAGAGAGAGTTGAGAAAGAGAGAAAAAATTCAGTTCATATCTGCTCTGTTTTCGTTCATTAACAGGGGAATATAAATACAAGTTTCTTCACTGTTACAACCACTCTACAGTGAGAACTTTTTGCAAATACAATGCAATCTAAACAACCCTAACTAATATACATTTACAATGACATATATTGGCCTTAATCACCGGCTGTCATCACCTAAAAGCATCACATAATACATTCAAAAATCAACCAAAATCCAGCATTGACAGACAGCCTATAACATACTCTTAACTTGGCGCCAAAGATACAAACTTGAATTGCAAAAAAGTTTCCAGCAAAATATCACACACTTTAACAGATATTATCATGTTGTTGCTACACTTGCTGCGTTAGAAGGAAGCTTTGTAAGACATTGAACATCACGGTACTAATTCTCTGTCACTGCATGATCGTGATCTCTTTCAGTTAGCACAGAATAGATTAGGGAACCTTCAAAACATGAAACTCTGGTTCTTAAAAAGACTTTATCTTCTTCCTACCCAAAAATGGGGTTTAATGAAATATTGAAAAAGGAAAATGAACAGCTTCAACGAGAATTGCAACTATCACAGGGTAATATGGATGTGAACCAGGTTGAAGTGATTCAGCGTTTGATTGATGTTACAGAAATTGTTGCAGCAAGTCCTCTTCCGGAAGAGAGTTCCCCAAAAAAAGTTTCTAAGAAAGTAGAGCGCAACTATTCTGATGCTGATAGTGAGAAACATCATTCGCATAATGAGCACTCTCCTAGAAAAGTAGATTCTCGCACGACTTCCAGGTTATATATTCTTTTCTGCTTTTGTGCCTCTTAGGTTGAATGCACATTTCAGTTAATTAGTAGTGCTCATGTTAGCATGTGGGGTAGTCTGTATATATCACCTTATATCTTTCATATATTTGTTCTATAATATGTATCAATAACATGATTTCAATAATAACAAAAGTTAACTGCACTTTTGACTAGATATTGTGGTTTGAATTGATACACAGGATTTTAAAATGTGACTAGTTTTATCCGAAGCAGTTGGGATTTAGGCTGTGCCTTTTTTAGTGATCGATTCAAGAAGGGGCTCTTATCAGCATGAAGAATGGCATACTGATCTGCTCGGCTGTTGTTCTGAACCTCTTCTGTGTATGTCCTCTCATGCTGTTGATCACTTTAGATTGTCTTTGGAAATTGTATTTTATTAGTGTAGCAATAGTCATATGGTGGTCTTTTTCATGCCCATTGCATTTCTGTTTTAGTTTATCTGTTTTAGCTGTAATGCACCTCCTACCCATTCATGATAGTGAAGGCTATCCCTAATTTCATTTTGTCTCTTTCAACTCTACGACGGAGTCACATCCTGTAGATGATGAATTGAGAAATATATGCTGCTGAATTGAAATCTTGTATATTCCAAATATTTGCTCAGTGTCTAAGCAGCTTGTCCCCATTGCAGGTATAAAGGCGTTATTCTATCCTTGTGGCACATTTTCAAAGATTGCAACTGGGCAAATAACAGGCACGTGTAAGTAGTTTCTAACCTTTGGGTTAGTTTCAAACTTATAGTTGCTTATCCTGTGTTTAGATGTGACAGAATTACAACCTGGGCATTTAGGCCCAATCTGCTAGCTTGAACTTACGTTTGGCTCATTTACTTTTTGCAGGAATTTTTCCATTAGGTGTTTTGTTATTTTGTTTGCTTGTACAAACTTTTTAGTTTAAGGTTTAAACTTGGAATATCCTGATCATGTTGAAATCCTATAGTACACCAACAGCTAAACTTTTCAAATGTTCCCTTTTAAAACACAAGTTAATGCTCCAAGATGCTCTAACCCACTAAAAAGAACTCCCGCAAGATACATCACACTATCTGCACACTGTTTTGTTTAGAGTCTGCTTAAAGCCAATTTGAGTTACAGATGTTACAGTTTCTGTAAAATGTCTATAAATTGTTCTGGATGTCTCATGGAGCACATGGTTCTTTAAGTGACAATGCTTCTCACAACCTTCTTTTAAACTTAATTGTCTGGTAGACTAGGTAATCAGACCTTGATTTCATCTTCAGTGTTGGTGATCTAGTATCCTCTTTCAAGTTTGAATGCTCCACTGAGTACCTGTTGCCCCAAAAGAATTGAAAAAACTGATGCCAATTATTAATTTTCTAAAGTTGGTCATTGTTAGGGTCATTAGGTTTCTGAATTCGGTTGCTCACTAATTCGTTTAAAGATGCGAACTAGTTTAGCTGGCTTCAGTGAAGGAGACATATAAGATTTGAGGGTTTTTCTGATTACTTTGATCACCATGTACATCTCAGTTAGAAGTTCCTGATACTTTTTTTGGTGCTGCCTTGACTTGGTAACCAGTTATTGAAACTATTGATTCTAATTCTTACAGGGTTTTGACTGCACAATTTAGAAAAGTTGCATGCAATATTTTTATCTTTTGGAAATGGATCATAAAATGATGATCCATCCTATCGCATGAATCATATGAATTTTCGGTTTTATTGCTTTTTCTATCATTATCGACCTGGCATTCCAACATTTTTGAAATTTCATTTGTGGCTGTAATCACTTAAAAGCTTACGTGTTGTAATTCTGGTTCTGTCTTCATCAGCTTCTGCAGAGGCATGTAATGAACTCATGGCATACTCGTTGATATTATCATGCTGTTGCTACACTTGCTGCGTTAGAAGGAAGCTTCGTAAGACATTGAACATCACGGTACTAATTCTCTGTCACTGCATGATCATGATCTCTTTCTGTTAGTACAAAATAGATTAGGAAAATAAACCTGCTGGATGCAACTGCTGTTGTTTTATTTTCCTGTTTGCGTGCCTCACTGTAAATATGGTTCATCCATTGCCAGCTTGATCTAAAATGCTAAAAGATTGATCATTTTCATAGGCATTTAACATAAGCAGACCCCTTTAAGACTTATAGGGGACGTTGAATCAGCATAAAGAATGGGAAAATAAAAATAAGGAAAACATGCTTATAGCAGAATTTTAAAATCATTTTTCTCTCTGAATATTTCACTCAGTGATCTTCTACTTGCAAGACCATACATTAGGATGAGTGTTGATGGAGGATTTAGTCCCATATAATTAGTCCTAAAGTCCAAAACTTGATCTTTCTTTAATTTGTTTCCCCATATAATCTTCTTATTGTCTCTTCCTTTGGCAGGGTGGGTTTATTGATGATTTCTCGTCACATTTGATGTGTTGCTGCTGTGCTCTTGTCCAAGAATGGCGAGAAGTGGAAATCCGTGGCATCTCTATGGTATGTCCTATGCTAGTGCTTCACTTCTTTTTGTAATATGCACGATCTCTTCTAGATCCATTGTCCATATCTCTGATACTGAGCACAGGTGATTCTGTTACTAAGTTTGAGGATACCAAGTCATGTTGCATCATCTGTCTTGGAGGTTCCTTATGCCCTTCCATTTCATGGATTTTTCTCACAATTTTTCCTCTTTCCAAGTTGGTATAAAACCAACTAGCAGGTCCT